ATTTAGGCTCAAGATGACATAATTTAATTTTTTTAATAATAATAATAAGAGTTAATTTTAATTTTTTTTTATTTTTTTATAAATATGAATTTTGTATGAATTTGAAAACAATTTTAAAAAATATAGTGAAACTATAAATAAAAGTGTGGTATATTTGAAAGAAAAATTTAAAAACGTGAGTCAAATCGTAAAAAGGAAAAACATGGCCACGTGGGACAGCCATGTCGGTAACACGACGAGTCAGAATGTGTTGTGTGGCGGACATGCTGGCACGAACTCCACATGGGAGCCACGCAAGTGATCCGCGTGTCTGGACGATCCAACAACTCGTGCTCACTTCCACGCGCACGAACGGTGTGGATTGACTTCCCAGACAAGCACGATCAGACGATTTGTACGTCTTCAATCGAACAGTCCATATTTATTCTCCTATTAGGCATGATTGAATGGCTGAGGAAGCACCACGCGGACCCAGATGGACGGCTCAGATAGAGAGAAGAGGAGTAATTAAGCGCTTCTTCCACCGAAACTCTAACCCTAGCAGCACGCACGCTCGCCAAAGAAGAAGAAGAAGGGCGGCCGGAAGAGAAGCCCAACCACCGGTGCTATCGCACTTGAGACCCAAATCACGCCGATGAGTGCGATTTTTCTTCCCATTTCTCCGCCCTTTAATCACCTAACACGTTTTGTAGCGCCCGGGAAATTGAAAAAAAAAAAAGGCCCGCGCCACGTCAGCAGACCCAGTCAGCAGTCCTGGCCAACCAGGACCTGCCACGTGGCAAAACCACGTCGACCGGGGACGGGCCACGTTGGTGATCCGCGTGCGTGCGATCGGACAGCCCAGATCAATCGCGCGCATGGACGGCCCAGATTTAATCGCACGGACTGCCCAGATTTAATCAAAAACGGACGGCCCAGATTAAATCAAAATGGACGGCTGAGATCAAAAGGCAAAAGGGTATAAATAAGACCCCCACACCAGACCCCAAACCCTAGCCGCTTGCCCTCGCCGGAGAAGACGAACTAGAAGCCGGCCGCCGCCACCCGCCGCCGCACCGGAGGGATTTTCGACCGCCGATCGAGGTAAATTTCATACCCCCGACTCGTTTTTCCACGCTGATTTCCCCAGTGGCCAAATCGGAGCCAAAATCCCAGCCAAACGGCCGAAAAACACGGCCGAAACCAGCGGCGCCGCCGCGTTCCTCCTCGGTTTTTGCCTCCGATGAGGCCCTTCCCGGCCTCCGTTTAATGCAATTTTTATATCACCGTGATCACCATTCTTTTCTCTACAGGTTGATCGGAGCCGAATCACCAAAACACGAACTTCACCGGAGAGCCACCGCACCTGAGAGCACCGTCGCCGGTAAGCTTCGGTTTTCCGTAAATTTTCGGCCCTCCGAGGGCCGTAGGGTTGTTTTATTGCAGGAACCAATGCGAGTGTGGCCGAATTCGGCCGGAAACGGCCGAAAACGGCCAACCCGAGGCGAACCGCCGCCGTAAGTGGCGGCGCCGTCGCCGGAGCACGGCGGAGCCGCCGTGCCGGAGTTGCGATATTGGCCGAAAGGGGGCCCTGGGCCTAATTTGGGATTTTTTGGAACACGTGCAGGTACCTGTAGTGCGTTTCAGTTCCCCGAGAATAATTTAGAGAAAATTAGGGACAGCCTGTAGACGCACTGTGAAGCCGTGTTCGGACCCCGAAACGTGTAAGGACCCCTCACCCTATTTCCTATCACGGTCTTAAAGTTCAATAAATGATAAAACGGTATTTCATGAATCAACGAATGTGTGAAATTGCTTAAGGTCGCTAATGGAGCCCGAGTCTAGTGTGTTTGTCGGTTAACTGTTATTTGGCCTGTTTTACAGTTTTAAATGCAGCATGAGGTTTGATGTTTTCATTTTATAGTTTCGTGTGCATATTTTACTATTTTACTGACTATAGATTGAATGATTGGGATATTGATACTGAATGTTGTCTGTTTGCCATAAATTATCGTTTTGCTTATTTGTATGTGTATTGATAATGCTGACTAAGGGAAAAAAAGGAGAATGAAAGATTATGTAAATGGGTAATTATATAATGTGGTCAGCCTGACTAGATATCCTGGGAGATGGTGGACGGACCGGGTCCATAGGGAACCCTACCGGGATTGTGGTCTCCCATACCGGACGGGGTATGGAGATCTTATGTATTTTGGCGCCCATACCGGACGGGGTATGGGGACGGCCCGTTTCACCCTCATACCGGACGGGGTATGGGGACGGCCCGTTTCACCCTCATACCGGACGGGGTAATGAGGTTTATAGTTTTGGCGCCCATACCGGACGGGGTATGAGGACGGCCCTGGAATATGATTTCAAGTGTTAAGGGTTAACGGGTAGCGGGACCCCTATGGATCCCCATGGATACTAGTGGGCTGGTAAATGAGGAAAAATATATTGTGTAACGATTGAATTACGAAAGGCTTGATAAGTATTACATTATACGGTTTATATATGATTTCATGATGATGATGATGTTATTGTTTTCGTATATTGACTTATGAATTTCACCGAGGTAAGTGAATGGTAAAGGTTTTTATTATTGATAAAAGGTTTTGTTGTAAATTATGCTCCATTGGTCTTTTTGTGTTTTCTACCCACCTTTACCTCCGTGACGGTAAGATATTGTGATGTCCTTACTGGGCTAGTGTAGCTCATTCCTTATTTAATCATTTCAGATCAAGAAGACATTGTTCCCGAGCCAGTTCCGCAGGAGGATGACGAAGGGGACGCCTAAAGACTCCATAGTTATATTTGTAGCTTTTACTTTCAAGTTTCTCCTTTAGATAGTTTGATCTTTTATATTGTGAGCACGTTTTTGGTTTTAGTGTAAGGGATATTATTCAAATTTTGACTTCGCTTCCGCATTTGATATTTTTTATATACATTTCATTTTGAATTTCCGGGGCTGTTACACGTTTTTTATGCAGATTAGTCGAAAATAGCAGTGACTTGCGAGGAAGGAACAACAAAGCTCAGTTGAGTTGTTGTACCAGAGACTAGAAAACACTTCAATAAGCCGTATCATCTTCCCGTTTACTCCATTTTTCCTGCTCTTCAGCCGTATAACTTGTTTATGATGTTGGGTGACTAAAAAAACCACGGATCGTAAGGAAAAAACGGCTGAGCTCGGCTGAGCCACCGCACCGAAGATCGAAAAACATCGGTAAGCCTTGATTTTTTTTCCTTTTTCAGTTGATAGACACCTCATAATAATAAATTAAACAGGTTTTTATCGAGAATCGGCTGAAAACGGCTTGATTGAGAGGAGGAGTCACTGGAAAAGGAGGACCCGGCGGCGGAGCATGGCGACGCGCCGGAACCCCAACCCAACCCCCAGTGAGATTTTTTTGTCCTTTTGGCCATTTTTTTGTGTGTATTTTCATGCTATTTTGACGTATATTTTGATTTGAACAAAAAAAAACTCAAGAAATCTAGAAATTGTGAATCGTCGAGAAGCATAATAAAAAATGCAGTATTCTGTACACCGACCCAGTATAAGAATCTCTCATCTATTTTTTCTGTTACGATTAAATTGAACTTAAACTGATAATAAATGAAAATTTTAGTTAATTGGCAGTTCTTTAATTAATTAAGTACAGATGACTAATGAAGTAAGTAACCAATCAGTCTACATCTGTTTTGAGTTCCAATTGCAGTAATTATTTCTTCAACTGTTTATTATGCTTATCTATTTATTGTTCAGCTTACTTTAATTTATTCACTTTAAGTCTATGCCTAACGTGATAAAGTTTCTTAATTTATATTTTTCAGTCACTCTATTGTATGTATAATATGTTTATGTCGGTATAATGTATGTTTATTTTACGTATGTACGCAAAAATATGAATTCCGTACTTATGTATTGTTTAAAATATTGATATACGTGTCTTTTAAGGTTAAATAGTAAATAAAAAGAAAAGATATGTATGAATCAATGGTGTTGAATGAAAGGGCCCTACCGGGTGTCTCAGAAGAGAGTGTACAGACTTAATGCATAAGATAAACCCTATAGTGGATGTTACCCTCAGTCATACGGGGTTTAGAAGTCTCGTACCGGAATGAGTTGTAAATTATTTTAATTACACTAATACCGAACGGGGTGTTGAGACGATTATGTGTTTTGGCATCTATTACCGGACGGAGTATGGAGACGACCGTTTGATCAAAAAGAGAATGTTCGTGTCCACGTATAGTGGGGATCCCTATAGATCCCCAATGACACCAATAGGAAATGTAAAATGATAGAGATGAATATGGTAAGGAATCAAATTTTAGGAAAATGACGTAAGGTTAATTACTATATGTTTTTTAGAATACGTATTATAGATTGTTATTATGATTATTACATTAATAAATGATATTTAAGAACTTATAGGTGAGTTGAGAAAATATTAGCGTTTTCAGTTAAATGAATTTTATTAATAATGAACTTCATTGGTTGTTTTATATTTTTTACAACCCTTTAAATTTTCTTTTAGTGATAAGACGTTGATATTTTTACTGAGCTAAAATAAGTCACAATTTATTATTAATCATTTCAAGTTAGAACAATTAAGACCCGAATCTCAAACAACAAAAAAATTAGTTAGGACACTGTCTTTACACTTCTCCAGTTTCGAGCAGAAGTTGATAATATTTATTTTCTTTATTACTTTTTTTATTAATTTTTTTTTAATACATTTTGGTATATGTATTGAACATTTTAAGTAAATTGTTCAAGAAATATTACCATAAACTCTAAACTATTTTTACTAAATTATAAATTTAAATATTATTTTATTCTACTATTTATGAGTTATATTCTTGAAATGTGTCTGAGCTTTTACATAAATCATTTAAAATATTATACAATTTAAATTAAAAATTGTTTAAAAATAAATTAAAATTAATTATATTAAATTTAATTAAAATATTTAAAAACGAAACGCTTGCAGATCTTGATGAAACCTTGAAACGAATCAAACGATCACCTCTCAAGTCTTAACGTTACACGGCAAAGACATGTCACTAACAATCGAACCTTGTCCTTCTTCAGCTTGTCAATCATGGCGACTATGCTTTACAGTCTCGCCACAAGCAAACAGTCTCTCCCAACCAACGCCATCAACATATCATCGAAGCCGAGCTATAGTTCCACACCGATCCTCCTCTCCGCTCTCTTATTCAGCAAATCCAACAAATCATCGAGGGACCTAGGGTTATTAACCCTAAAGAGAAGAAGTTGGGCTGTAAGGTCAATTACAGAGGACAGAGAAGTTGTTCCTGTTAACAATGAGAGCTTCAAGGATGCATTGGTGAACGGGTCTAAGGATTTTGGGGATGTTTCGTCTTCGGGTAATCAGAAAGGAGAAGGGGATGATCATGAGAACGATAGGTTTATCAACGCTGCTATAGTTCTGAGTGCGGGTACTCTTGCAGTCACTAAATTGCTGACAATTGATCATGATTACTGGCATGTAAGCGATGTTTATGCGTTCAAAGTTATGGTTTATGTTTTTCTTCGGTGTGTTTGAGATGAAACTAACATAATGTTGAGATTTTTCTGTCTGTAAATTTAGTAGTGGAGGAATAAATTAATAAATATTTGACGAAAATGGAGTGTTAAATTTGTTCCTGCTGATTTGTATGAAAAGAAATATTTGTTTGGAGAAAAATTTTACAAGGGGATGTTTGAAAGATATAAGAATTTAGATTTCCTAATCTTCTTAAGAAAGTTTCAGGTAAAAAAATTATGATTCTTATTTTAACAACACAGGGATGGACTCTTTATGAGGTATTAAGGTATCTTCCAGAGCACAATTGGATTGCATATGAACAAGCTCTCAAAGCAAATCCTATCTTGGCGAAAATGGCAATAAGCGGGATTGTATACACTCTTGGTGATTGGATTGCACAAGTAAGCAGCCCCTCAGACAACCTTCTGGCCTGTATATTGCAAATTTCTTGTTTCAACTTGTCAGCTTGTTTTTCTTACCTCCTTTTATATATTTATGTTATGTTGTTGGTGAATTTGCAGTGTTATGAAGGAAAACCTCTTTTTGAGTTTGATCGGACTAGAATGTTCAGATCAGGCCTTGTTGGATTTACTCTTCATGGATCCCTTTCTCATTTTTATTACCAACTTTGTGAGGTGATAATTGTGGTTCATATTTGTTCATTCTGCTGGCTCATCTGCCATTGTTCTGTTGATGGCTAAAATCATTTGCTTTAATTTTCAGGTTCTTTTTCCTTTCCAAGGTTGGTGGGTGGTCCCAGCCAAAGTTGCCTTTGATCAGACAGTTTGGTCAGCCATTTGGAACAGCATTTATTTTGTGATTTTGGGGTTCTTACGTTTTGAATCCTCGAGCAATATTGTTAGCGAACTTCGGGCAACATTTTGGCCCATGCTGACTGTAAGAAGCTTTTCTTGTTCATACATTATCATCTTTAATTCATTAAGTAATTTCTAATTATGAGTTCTCTTTCTGCATGATTTAATTGTGCTATCTAGATTATTGTTTAATACATTAACAATTTGTTAGCTCTTGGACATAGTATTAGTTTAACCCAAGTCTTTGTGTGTAATTGGCCTAGCTCTCAGCTGGTTACCTGCCATTCCATAGGAAGTTGAAGTGCAGGATTGAGTGTTCTTATTTAGGAACGTAGAAACTCAAAAGTGAGCTGGGGTTGAACTAGGAGTTTACCCTATGACCCTGATCCATTGATGATTTCGCAATCTTCTATCTCTGAAACCTTAACAAATTAACAAACCCTGAATTGCAATGATTGATTTTGCCCCTTCTAGTGGCTACTGGAGAGGCTTGAGTCCAATATCAAACCAGATTTTAAAACCTTTACTGAAAAGTGAAAAAACAGTTCAAGCTTTTTAGACGCCAACAAAAGAAGATCTGGAAAAGCACAAAATGGGCCTTGATAGCTAATTGATTCATGTTATTCTAATGAAAATATGTTTGATCCACTATTAAATCCCTTATTAGAAGTGCTAATTATGACTGGCAGTTATTTGCTTTTACAGGCAGGATGGAAACTTTGGCCATTTGCTCATTTGATCACCTATGGTTTAATCCCTGTTGAGCAAAGGCTTCTTTGGGTGGACTGTGTGGAACTCATCTGGGTTACAATACTTTCAACGTGAGTTCCTAGCACCTCTTTCATTTGTAGAGAAACTTTATGTTTTCTGCAGCAAACTTTTATTTTCGTGGGAGTTAAATTCATTCTAGAGCTCAAAAAGTGTGATTCTTTTATTTTCTTCCCTTCCTTTGATGTCTCTAGTGCTCCACATTCTTGCAGCCGAACGACCTGCAAATTATATAAACATGCTTAGATTTCAGAAGAATGAAAATTTCCTGTTCACTTTTCAAAACATGCTATTCCGTGGGTTCTTCATGCTAACTTATTTTTCCTGACACTTTTGATATGTTGTTTGATCCAAAAATTGTTAGCCACCTTGATATGGATATCAACACTACTCTATCAAGTTTGCAGTGATGTCACTTTTTCTCTTAATGTTCCTGATGTAGGACGCGCTTGGAAAACTTCAAATCAGTGGTAATGATAATGACCTTCACTATTTCAGTAAAGTTTTAAAGGAGAAGAATAAAATATTAAGATGGGAAGAGAGAAAAGAGAAAGTTGAGGAAAGAGGGGAGAAGGAAAAGAGGAACGGAAGAAGAGAAATGGGTGAAAGAATGGGAGAGAAACCAGAATTCAGAGAGGAAATGCTTCAATTCTCCCCAATAACAATTGTCATATTCATTACAACCAATCTCTTTATATAGGCAAAAGGAAAAGCCAAAGGAGCCAATAGGAACTTTGGCAAGTAGACACACCTTGTTGTTGTTACATGCTTTGGCTACCATCTCTAGGCCTCTGTGAGGGCACAAGTTGGCAACTTTTGGCTGTCACCTCATTTGGCTACCTTTT